ATTTCTGATGGTGGTTGAGACTCAAAATGCCGACAACACAGATTGAATTAATTTCCTATTCAAAATAGATCATTCTTTTGTACTTGCAAATTAACTGTTATGGAAAACTGGTTTACCAGTAATATAAAATTTTCATATCTGTTTTTAGACTTTGCCTTCTTGAAAGAAGCATCGAAGTTGAGAGATTCATGTCGCAGATTGGGCTCTCGTCAGCAGCGCGATTTCAAAACGGTGATTAACTGAAGATTTGACTGCAGCAGATCTTTATCATGCTGAATACAAATATACTTTATAGGTTAAACAGCTGGTCAACGAATGTCGCAGACGGCAGATAAAACTCTCTATTCTTCCGCGGTATTTTGAGAAAAGCGTCGCCAATAGTAGCTTTTTTAATTCCATGTAAGCAACAATTAACGGGCATGATTCTACTCATCGATCTGCATTGTGTTATGGCTTTTACGCGTTGTTTTTAGATATGTATATGAGGAAGCAACAACTATTTATGTCAGCACCTGATCCATGCATTTTTATTAGCTGTACTTTATCATACTCTTTGCTAACGACGATTCATGATTCTACTTTTTAAGAACTGTGCCAATAGAAGGACTTCATACATGATATATTAGTGTTTTTCTAAAACAGTTTTAGTTTTACAGTACTTGATTATTTTATAAAGTAAAATTGATATATTTCCCATTTCAGTGGTAACAGGGGCGAATTCAAGCTCATTCCTTCATAGGTGTCTCTTGAAACTGATCTCCGGTGAAGTGCGACTTAGCCGCTATGCGGGCGCACGTGTCTAAAACGAAAATTCTATTTTCGCGTTCTCCTTCCCATGGCGCTGTACAATTAAACAGAAAAGCAGTGGAACAGATGGATAAGTTCAGGTACCTCGGGGTTCTTGTTTACTGGCGATGGAAAATTTCAGGAAGAGATCGACCGGCGGATTGGAATGGCTAGCGATATTCTGCGCGAATTAGCCAGAACCATTGTGACCAAAGTAAAGCTTAGTCTGAAGACTGAGCTGTCGTTATTCAAGTTGTTCTTCCTCCCCATGCTTGATTACAGTCATAATTCGTCAATCATGACTGAAAAACTTCGATACCGAGTACTGACGGCTGAAATGGGCTTTCTGGAACCAGTCTGAAACCCGCGAGAATCTTGGTGTATAGGCGCTGCGTCTTCAGATGGAGAAATAACAACTGCGATGGTTTGGATGCGTGCTGTGAATGCTTCTGGAAAGGAAGTCGACGCAATTATTAGCTACCCAACCGATCTGTAGAAGACCCAGGAGACCTTCATGATTAACCTGTGGCAGCTGTATTTAATAAGTCTGCTCTAGACTCAGGTTATCTTCTATCGAGGCTCCAACATTAGCGCAGGATGAGAAACGTCTGAGACATTGTCTGAGGCATTTTTTTGTCCCAAAGGGATAAAAGGTCATCGAGGCTGGCCGGCTGACTATCCTTAGTACTTCACGTATTCTCCATATAATATCTCTAGACAGAAGAGTAGCTGCGGAGTTTCTGCAATGACCGTTTAGTTTACGACTAAAAGCGTTTTGCTGATGCCCTAGTGGTCGTCTTCATGTTGACTAATCAAAGGCACTTTACTTTCATTAATGCAGCAGTAATAAATTCAAGTACATGAAACTTCATCATTATGTGGCCTTAGTGTAGTTTGTTGAACTCTTCTTTGTTAGTCATGCACCAAATTTATTTCTGCTCTACTATTCGGTGTTGTCCGATCCCTCTAACTGCTCTGAATACGCATACTGTACTATTGAAATACCCTTGCTAATCAATAGATCATTGCTATGACGGTTTAGGTGGATTAAGAGATCTTCCATGTTCTGTGTACTCACAAACTGTCATGCGTTTTGCACACTGTGCAGTAGGCGGTCAAGATCAGCCGAAGCTAGACAGAAGACAGCTAGTGAATATTCAGAGAACATCTTGAACTTTCGAATCTTGGAATTTTGCCCCTTCTATTTGACTGAGAAGCGAGACAATTAAAATAACTATCTGAAGTTGCGTTAATCGCTGCTTCAGAGGAATACCCTTTTATAAACAATGGCAGTTAATGTTCTGTTTTCAGCAATTCTTTAAAATTATTTTTTTTCCATCAAACTTCGTTCACCTTTAGTGACCAGTGAATATTTCAGTGCCGATACGATATTTTGGAGAATCGAATGGGTTTTTTATAGTGCCAGTGGATACACTGTATATTCAGATAGGTATGTTGATATTCTGACAGTTTTTTTTTCTTTTCTCAATGTTTTATTTACAAAGGTGTAGTGCCCTCATTTCAGGATTCCCGGTAGCGTCAGTATCGCTACTTTGCTCAGAAAGCTTCTAAGTGGTCACCTCAACGACGACGTATTAGAGAATCGTGAGCATTTGGTGGAATATATCTCAGCCCCTAAATCAGACATCCACTGCGTCATCAAAGTGGAAGAAAACTACTGGACAAACGACCTCAGGTACGTGTTAAGTTAAGTTATTTCTTTAACCTCGCTGTGCCTTAGAATCTCACTATACTTTCAGCTGAATGGTTGCCATGATATAAGAGGGGGATGACAGTAATGCAGTGAATGTGCATTTCAAAGGTGCTAGGTTCGAATCTCATGGTGGCGTAGAATTTACTTTTTAACTGCTATTGCCCTTGATCAAAAAATGCACTTCTTTGTGCTTTGTTGAAAATGACCGAAAAACGGTGGCAAGTCCATTACCTGCAAACAGCAGGGATGGAATGTTGTTTTCCTGGGGTCCCGTCAGAATTTGCAAGATCTGCAGTAATGTTGACCGATGTTTGGGCCCTACGGGTGCAGTCCGTCTTACCCCACTTTGTAGTAGTCAGTTTCGATGACTGCTTATCCTTTCCGATCACCGAGGCAGACGCATCAGGCGGTGTTTCCAAAGTTCCCGATCTCGTGCCAGGGTTTGAACCTTGGCGAAAGTAGCCGAAATCTGGAACAGAAACTTTCATCACGCTTGCCGCAGGTTTTTCTTGGCTGTCCACGGGATCTTCAGCCGGTTGGCTCGGCAAGTTGTTCATGTTTCTTATTCTTTTTTGGAAGCATTCTCAAGACGTTCCCAACTCATCACAACTGTGATTTCTCAGTCTGGAGACTATAGCTGACTAAAATACACTAAACAGAAATTATAAATTTAAAGCAGAAAAAAATCAAATAATAAATTGAATTGTTTGTACCTGGGTTCGTTGTCACGCGGCTGAATGAAGGTTCAAACCTTTGCTAGAACGAGTCCGCCGGACAATCTTGTTTTTTAGCATGAGCATAAGAAACATGATTACTGGTTAAATTCATAAATATTACTGAAACGAGAACAATAAAATTATTGTAGTTGGTCTATTAAATGATATTACTAGAAGATTAAACTCTGTAAAATGCGGAAATCAGAACTTATAAGTTACAATGCAAAAATAGGGTATAATAGATGAAATTGAATGATTTCAACAAACTGTCAATTATCCTTTTCATCAGCCTTATTCAGAATAATTTTTGGTACTGCCACCTGTTGGTTACGGTTTAGGTGGATAAATAAGCACAACTCTGCGTGTAGTAGGTAGAAGTTGCACAATGTGCTGTTCGTCTAGTGGAGATCAAGTTTTAGAAAAAAATGGTAATCCTCGCTGATGGTGTAAAAGGGAAGATGAGCGTAACATTTTAAGGTCCTTGAATGAGTTCTGCCACAAATAGCATCAATCTTGGGAGAGTAAATGAGATCGACATTCCAGTGGTTGCATCCTTCCTTTTCTTTTACCTTTTTAATTCAGGTAGAAAAGTCGGAAGACTTCTGCTTTCTTTGTAGTCTATTCCATAAAGTAAAGGC